CAGCGAAAGCATACGACAGGGCGGCATTTAAACTTAGAGGAAGTAAAGCGATACTGAATTTCCCGCTTGAAGCAGGCCAATCCGACCCCTCTTCTGGAATACAACATCCTCAAAAAAGCTAGAGAGAATTGTTGAAGATTAAAATTAAATAAATAAACTGTGCCCTCCATTCCTCTAACTATTACTTTAACTTCAAAATCTAGTCCATTTAAAGTATCCAGAGATCATGTTTTACTTATGTTTAATAGTATTTTTGGGGGAGAGGAGAGGTTAGTGATTTCTTTTGTTTTTTACTCCCTTAATTCAGTGTAGTGTGAGACTTGATTGAGATTTATTGGTTTTGTGTACTAGACTACTATTATTTTATTTTTTCTCGGAGGCAATGACAGTTTCTTTTAAAAATTTAGTTTTTGTACTTCCATTTAAAAGAAAACTTATTTTAAGATATTTAAATATCTAATCTACAAAAAAAAAAAAAAAAAAAAAAAAAAGAATAGAGGAGAAAGTTTTAAATACAAATTTACTATATATGCACACACACACACACACACACACACACACACACGCACACGCATACGCACACGCACACGCACACATTAATAACAGTAATTCATGTAATAAGTTGTTATTTTAAGGAGAAATTTTTGAATATCAATGTTACTCTTATATATTTAGCAATATGCGCAGCATGCCCTCACCTCTTATTCGATTCTCATAATTTACATTATTAACACTAATTCATGTAATGACTTGATATTTTAATTACCTTATAGTATTCATCCTTAAAATGTTAATATACTATTATTAGTTAAAATTTGAAACTTATTGATTTGAATACTGTTATTAAATTTTGAAACTTTTTTTTATTACATGTGTTAAATGAATGGTAAGGCTTTTAAATTCATAATTACAATCTTTAAATCTTTTATTAATCAAATGCATTATTACAGATATTTTCATTTTTCATCATGTAAATATTTTAAATAATTCGTGCATTAGGTTATATTTTAACTTGTATTATAATATCCACCATTAGATCATAATATATAATTATTACTTATCATTTGAAACTCATTGATTTGATTTCTTTTTTAAATTAAATTTTTTTTTCTAAAAAACTTGGAAAATAGTATAACACATTTACAAGTTTTGAACTAGAATATATAGCCATCAAAATCATATTTACGATGCTATTTATTTTTTACCATTTTCCTTACAAGTTAGATTGGATTTTATGAAATGAATAATAAAAGTTGTACCTCCATATATTTATAAAAATTGAAAAATTTGGAATGTGAATTTTAATTTTTCTGAAATGATACTTTTTTATGAGAATTTTAAACCAAGCAAGGAAATAAGTGAGAAAAATTATGTGAAGGTTCTCTACTCTCAATTCTCGAGTATAAACTTGAAATATTTTTTATAAAGGCACAAGGTCTATCGATGATTATTTTTTTGGGTGACGAATTTGCCATTAGTGCGTGAAAAATTATTATATCGGATTATTAGCTTTGGATTTTTATTCTACAAAATCTGCGGAGCCTTGCTATTCTAGCTGAAATACACTTGCATCTTGGTTATCCACTTCAGGACAAATTTTTCATTTTTAAATTACTTTGTTTTAACTATAGAATAATTCTAATAACTTAGTTTTGTGCATATTACACATGGGATTAATATTTTTCATTTTTTTTAACTCAACAACTTGAATTTTACGTATTTTGATTTTTTTTCTATGATATTGAGTAATTAATGCACAATTTTTCCCATATTGTTATAACTCCTCTAATGTGTCATGCAGTGAATACTACTGCTACAGATTTACGATAAGGTTCAACATCAAATCAATGCTTCTTTTAACTAGATGACTACTGCAACAACTAGCTTTTTATAGAGAACACCAACTACAAATTACATTAGAGCTATATGAAGGAATCATCGACGTAATGAATGCAGAAGAGACAATGGAAGATAAAATTGGGAAAATAGTAGTCCTATCGTCTTCATTCATTGGATGACTTAGGAACATGCATAGCCCTTTTTAGATGATATGACATTGGTGCAAATATTTGGTAAATCTGTCTTTTTTATAAAAAAAAGTGATGCCGGAAAATTCACAGAAACAAACTGATGCCAAAAATTCACAAAAAATCTGATGCTGGAAAATTCACAGCACCTTAGACAGAATTCAGAAAAAGACCATATGATTATCCAGTCTCGGTGTTCACCACTGGCAGGCAACTACCTTAAGATACAGAGTTGGATTCGACTCACCACTTAAGGGGAAAAGGCTGGAGATACAGAACAATTCAAGAAGAAAATCCTTTCTTCCTAAAAATCGGCCAATTGCTGATTAATTTCATAAAACTCAAAAACTATCTTTCATTACAGAATTATTGTCTTTATAAGCATAAAAATTAACGCAATAAAATATTAAACTTAGAATATAATCTTTTTCAAAAAACAAGAAAGGAAATTAATACTAAACTTAAGGTAAGAGAATACTAAAAAATATCCCCGAAATTTCCATAATCGCTACTTTCCTAATTCTTCTTTATTCTGCCAGAGCTTTCCTTAATTTGCTCCTGTCTCAGAATTTAATTTTTTTATACTGCCACCCGTGTCATGCTCCCCTGGTTGAAAAAGACTCATCCTCGAGTCTGGAACTGCTTCATCTTCATTCTCATGGTAAAGGGACAAATTTGAAACATTGAACGTAGTTGAAACACCATACTCTATTGGAAGCTCAATTTTGTATGCATTCTCCCCGACATGCTGTAGGACTTTAAATGGACCATCAGCTCGAGGCATCAACTTTCCATACTTCCCTTTCGGAAAACGCTCTTTACGAAGATGAATCCACACCATATCTCCCTCCTTGAAAACAGCTGGTCTACGATGTTTATTAGCGGCAACACGATACTTCTCATTTTGCTTAATAATTTTCTCCCGAATCTGCTCGTGCATCATCTTTATTTCCTTGTCCTCGCATCAGCATCCCCACTGTATTGCTGCACCGAAATGATAGGTGCCAAATCCAAAGGACTAATTGGATTCAGGCCATACACGACTTCAAAAGGGGTGCAACTAGTAGTATGGCTTGTAGAACGGTTATAGGCATACTCCGCATGAGCTAGCATAAGATCCCACTGACAAATATGCTTACCCACCAGACTTCTCAACAGATTGCCTAAACTTCGATTGACAACTTCGGTCTGCCCATTGGTTTGCGGGTGATGAAATGTGCTAAAAAGCAATTTTGTACCAAGTCTCCTCCACAAAGTGCGGCAGAAGTGACCTGTAAACTTGGTATCCCGATCCGAGATAATTGTTTTTGGTATACCATGAAGTCGCACAATCTCTCAAAAATACAAATCAGCCACATGTGAAGCATCCGTGGTCTTGTTACAAGGAACAAAGTGCGCCATCTTCGAGAAGCGATCAAAAACTACCATGATTGAATCTTTGTTCCTTTGTGTCCGTGGCAACCCCAATACAAAATCAATGCTAACTTCCTCCCACGGTGAATTTGGAACTGGTAATGGAATATATAAACCTGTGTTCTATCCATGAGTTTTGGCCAGATGACAAATCTTGCAACGCTTCAGATGTCTCATAACACCCCTCTCCATCCTAGGCCAATAAAATTGTGACGCCACCAGTGAAAGGGTTTTGTCACGCCCAAAGTGTCCAGCTAGTCCACCTCCATGAGCTTCTAGAATAATTGCTTCTCGTAAAGAGCTTTGCGGAATGCATAAACGATTATCCTTGAACTGATAACCATCCTGTAACACAAAATGATTAAATGGACCTTTTACACATTTAGTTAAAATATCACCAAAATATGGATCATCCTGATATAATCCTTTGAGAACTTCAAAGCCGAGAACCTTCACTTCCATAGTACTTAGCAAGGAATATCTTCGACTCAATGCATCAGCCACTTTATTCTGGATACCTGATTTATGCTTGATTGTAAATGAAAAAGCCTGCAAAAATTCCACCCATTGAGCATGTCGGCGATTCAACTTATGTTGCCCATTGATATACTTCAATGCTTCATGATCGGAGAAGAGAACAAACTCTTTAGACAAAAGGTAATGACTCTAATGCTCTAATGTTTGTACAAGAGCATAGAACTCCTTATCATATGTAGAGTATCGCTTTCGAGAATCACTTAACTTCTTGCTGAAATAGGCAATAGGCTTTCCTTCTTGACTGAGGACTGCACCAATTCCCACATTTGACGCATCACATTCTACTTCAAAGACAACTTCAAAATTTGGCAACCTCAAAATAGGAGCTTCTGTTACCTTTTTCTTTAAAAACTCAAAATTCTTCTGTGCTTCCTCCATCCACTTAAATACTCCACCTTTCAAACAATCGATGACAGGAGATATAATAGTGCTGAATTGTTTTATAAAACGACGGTAAAAAGAAGCTAACCCATGAAAATTTCGAATGTCCTAAATTGATTTTGGGACTGGCCAACTTGTGATTGCCTCCACCTTGCTTGGATCCATCTTGATTCCATCACTTGAGACTAAAAAGCCTAAGAAGATTAAGCTCGTAGTGCAAAAGTGGCATTTTTTTAAGTTGACATAAAGCTTCTGCTCTCGAAGTTTCTCAAGAACTTGGTGAAGGTGCAACACATGCTGTTCAATATTCTTGCTATACACTAGAATGTCGTCAAAATAAACCACAACAAATAGACCAATAAAAGCTTTAAATATATGATTCATAAAGTGCATAAAGGTACTTGGGGCATTTTATAACCCAAAAGGCATACCGGTCCGCTCATACCATCCATCCCGAGTCTTGAAAGCCGTTTTCCACTCATCCCCAGGCCGCATTCTGATCTGATGATAACCGCTCCTGAGATCAACCTTTGAAAATATAGCAGCACCATGTAGTTGATCAAGTAAGTCATCAAGCCGTGGAATTGGAAGCTGATACTTGATCGTAATCTTGTTTACTGCCCTGCTATCGATGCACATACGCTAGGAACCATCCATTTTTGTTACAAGAAGTGCTGAGACAGCACAAGGACTCATACTTTCTTTCACGAACCCTTTTGCCAGTAAATCATCAACTTGCCTCTGTAAATCTTCCTGCTCCTTCGGATTCATTCTATAAGCAACCTTATTTGGAAGACTAGCACCAGGTATAAAATCAATGCAATGTTGTATATCCCTCATTGGTGGTAGTCCCGGAGGTATCTCATCAGGTATAACATCGGTAAATTCGTGGAGTAAATTACCCATGATTGGAGGCAACTCGGTATGCTCTTCATTTTCTTCCAACACAAAAAGGACATAAGCCTCACGCGTCTCCTCTATATTCTTTCTTACCTCAGCTCCTGTCAAAAAATTATTGCTCTCCACTCTCGATGTTTGAGAAACTTTTTCGATTTTTGTAGGACCTAACACAATCTTCACACCATCTTTTACAAATGAATATGTATTCTTAAATCCATCATGCAATACTTTTCTATCATATTGCCATGGGCGACCGAGTAATAAGTGACAAGCATCCATAGGTATAACATCACAATATAATTCATCGAAATATTTAGTACCAATAGAAAATTGAACAAGACAACGTTTGTGAACCTTTACCTCATTTCCCTTGCGAAGTCAGGAGAGTTTGTATGTTTGGTGATGATTTTCCATTCTGAGTTTCAATTTTTCCATCATTGATGTTGCAATAACATTCTCACATCTCCCCCCATCAACAATTACATCACAGACCTTGCCATGGGATGTACATCTCGTGTGAAAAATATTATTGCGAAGCCAGTCGTCATCTTCTACATGTGCTGCACTCAAACTCTTGGAGAGCACCAGAGATTCTCCATGATCAGCATAGATTACTTCTTCTTCTACTTCCTTGTCATATGTTGGATCACCCAATTCTTCCTCACCCTCGTCCTCTTCCACAAAAGCAACAATTTTACGATTAGGACAATCTGATGCAATATGTCCTACACCTTGACATTTGAAACATCGACGACCAGCAGGAGGGTTGGGACGGCCGGGATGAGTACTAGACATTTCTGGCTTCAGGTTACCTTTTGACGAACCTGGTTTTATGGGATTGCTCCTAAACGGACCTATGTTCCCCCGATTAAAATTGGTGTCACGATTCAAGGAACGAAAGGCTCCCTTACGACGCTCCATTAGCTATTTTTCAACCTTAGCTGCAAGTTTACAAATATCATTGAAAGTCCAGTAGGGCTGTAGCTGAACCACATCACAAATTTCGGTACGTAATCCACCAAGATAACGAGCTATAGTCTGTTCTTCAAGTTCCTCAATCTCACACCACAACATCAGATATTCAAATTCAGTTGTGTAGTCATCAACAGATAATTCATTCTGCTTAAAATTATGAAACTTAAGGAAAGAATCCCGCCTGTAATTATCTGGAAGAAATTTCTTCTTGAGGGCCTTTCGCATCTTCTCCCATGTCACAATGCAACTCTTCCCTTCACGTGCCCGCTGTTTCTTGAGATGTGTTAGAAAAATAATTAGTTGCAGCAGTGATCAGAACAATATAATGCAGAAATATAAAACTTATCGTCCGATCGAGTCTCGTGACAACACGATGTCCTAAAGTGAAATTGCTCGTCAATAATTGCTGTGACCTCCGTGGACAATCACTCCCAGGATACAACGATCGTAAACCACTTATGCAGCAATCACGAATGGTTTTTCTAGAACTCTCAATTGTACTCCAGAATAGGTATAAAAACCCGAATATAAGAAATTCACAATATGAAAAGAGCGATTGATTCTATTTTCTTTTTGTGTGTCTTTTCCCAAAGCAAGATATGGGTTTATATAGGCAAGATGGTAGTAACAGTCTTCACCATGTTAATGCAGAATTTTAATGACTGAGTAGTGGGTGTTTTAATGGCAGTTAGTGGGTTGTTACAAAAACAAACAGTCATAAAATACTGGCTAGTTTTACCCATTAAATAATGAAGAAAAAAATATTTATTTTAGTCAAGGAAGCCCAAGAGCCCAAGGCCCCAAGGCCCAAATCAAGACATTTTAATATTTACGTGGGGAGTGATTCGAACCCCTGACGTCCCACACAAATGTCACATTTCCCACCACTTTGACACTTTATCTAATTTGATTATTTCTTTCACATTTTATATTTATACCATAAATATATAACAAGATGTTCCCACCAGATTGACACGTGCTTCTTCAACTTAATCTCTACAATCTTCACCTTGCGGTCTTCAGGCACATCCTTGTACTCAAAGATTCTCTCCACTGTATGCAACCAATCAATAAATTCATCTGGCTGCATTCTACCTTCAAATTCTGGAACATCAACTTTGATGTCGAAATCTCGCTCAAACTTGCGATTCCTTCGAGAGCGATTGGACCCCATGCTATGATCTCGATGGAATGGATTATCCTCTTCTTCATCGCCATATGAATCTTCTTCCTCGGATTCCTGATTTAATGCCTCTCGTCTCTCAGTTTGGAGGTGCGTCAACTGTTGTTGAAGCTGTTGCACTTCCCTGCGCAATGCTTCATTCTCAATATCACGATGATCCCACTCACGGTTTGGTCTTTCAACATCAGGGCCACGTCGACCACGATCTCGATTAGCCATAACAACTGGAGCTCTAATACCAAATTGATGCCGAAAAATTCATAGAAACAAACTGATGCCAAAAATTCACAAAAAATCTGATGCTGGAAAATTCACAGCACCTTAGATAGAATTCAAAAAAAAAAACCAGATGATTATCCAGTCTCGGTGTTCACCACTCGTAGGCAACTTCCTTAAGATACAGAGTTGGATTCGACTCACCACTTAAAGGGAAAAGGCTGGAGATACAGAACAATTCAAGAAGAAAATCCTTTCTTCCTAAAAATCGGCCAATTGCTGATTAATTTCATAAAACTCAAAAACTGTCTTTCATTATAGAATTATTGTCTTTATAAGCATGAAAATTAACGCAATAAAATATTAAACTTAGAATATAATCTATTTAAAAAAACCAGAAAGGAAATTAATACAAAACTTAAGGTAAGAGTATACTAAAAGAAATCCCAGAAATTTCCATAATTGCTACTTTCCTTATTCTTCTTTATTCTACCAGAACTTTTCTTAATTTGCTCCTGTCTCGGAATTTAATTTTTTTATACTGCCACCCATGTCAGAATAAAGAAGAATAAGGAAAGTAGCAATTATGGAAATTTCTGGGATTTCTTTTAGTATACTCTTACCTTAAGTTTTGTATTAATTTCCTTTCTGGTTTTTTTAAATAGATTATATTCTAAGTTTAATATTTTATTGCGTTAATTTTCATGCTTATAAAGACAATAATTCTATAATGAAAGACAGTTTTTGAGTTTTATGAAATTAATCAGCAATTGGCCGATTTTTAGGAAGAAAGGATTTTCTTCTTGAATTGTTCTGTATCTCCAGCCTTTTCCCTTTAAGTGGTGAGTCGAATCCAACT